CGGGGCTGAGAGTTGAAGCGCTGGCTCCCTGCGGCCCAGGGCGTGAGCTCTCTGCCTTTGGCTTTGCAGCGCACGGGCGGGACCTGACCTCTCAGGGACAAGGAGGCCCTTCTCAGGCCTGTGCTGGTCTGGGGGGGGCGAGGCGCACAGGCCCAGGCCTCGGCCGCACCGGACTCAGCCGCCCTTGTCCTTTCCCCGGCGGGCCCGGGAGCAGGGGCTCGGTGGCGAGCATGATCCCGAAGGAAGCACAGCCCGCCGCACACACCCCCTCCGGGTGCCCGGCGCGCTGCCCATTTGGAACGCGTTTTCTGGGAAGAAATCACAAGCCGGTCCCCATGCTGGCCTGGGGCAGGCCTCCCATCGCGGGGCCAGTTCTACGAGTTCTTTATACACTTTGAGTGTCAGTGTCTTGCAGTTTCTAAAGCCTCACTCTCCAATTTCTCTGGCTCAGCCCCCTTTGCTGCCTTCCCGCCCCACCTGCTCTTCCCAGGTCGGGGCTCTGAGAGGCCCCTCTCTCCACGCTCCCCCGGGTGGCCTTGCCCAGCACGGGCCCTGCCCCGGCTCCTCCCCCCTCTCCAGCTGCCCCGGTGGCATTTGTAGTCAGACGCCACACAAACATCTCGAGCTCACTTTTTAGACAGAACCCCTTGTTTTCTGCCTACGCCACACCTGTAACTTCCTGGGTGTCTCTGGCTCCGTGAGTGACCGGGGCCAGTAACTGGACATCCAGGACTCGCCAGGCCTCTCCCAAGGCCTGTTATCTAAGTTATCCTTCATCTGCCACGAGGTGACTACCTTCAGCTGGTTGATAAGGACACAGAGCTCAGGCACCTGCAGGGCCACCCCGGGGCCTAACTCCAGGGGGACAGTCACAGTGCCATCTGCGAGAATGGCCCTCCCTGGAGTCACACAGCGGCAGCCAGTCACAAATGTCTGAATAGGGACGCAGCCCCTGGGCGGGGCGGGGGCGGCCACAGGCACGCTCCTTCTGGCTTCCTCTGCCCCATCCCATCCCACCTGACCCCAGTCTGGCGCCCTCTGCCCCTCTGTTCCACCCCTGCCCCCCCCTTCTGTTTTCTAGGCACCTCTTGGGCCACACAAATATCAGTCTTGTCTCTGTGCGCTCAGGGATCCGTCCGCTGCAGGCCCCAGGGTGAGGGGTGTATCGGACAGGGGTCTCCAGAAGAACAGAACCAAAAGGTCTGTATCTGTACGTTAGGTACGGTGATATGTATGGAGAGCGAGAGAGAGAGATGGAGAGAGAGAGAGACGGAGATAGAGGCAGAGGTAGACAGAGAGAGAGAAAGGAGGTAGAAGTGTAAAGAGAAAGACATTTTTAGGAATTGGCCCCTCTTCTTGTCAAGTGAGAATGGCGACGAGCGTTTTCCCATGACCTTAAATGCCCTTTGACGGAAGGTTTGGCTGCTGCGTGCATTCTCGTCCTAGGGATGTACCACAGTTTACTTAAACTTTCCTCTCGGACATGTTTTTCTTACCGTGAATACCATTTTTTTCGACCACGAAAAAATGCTTCAGTGGTCATTTCTGGCTTCAACCGTGGTGCACATTTTTTACTGTTTTAGGATAAACTTCTATAAATGGAGCCTTTGGGCCCAAGGGTTTTACTGCTCTAGGAACATACTCCCAAACCCCAGAAGGACGGTGCAGTTTCTTACTTCTGTAGTGCCAGGCAGTAGGGCGACAATTTTGATAACGGCTTCCAGTTTGACAGGGGAGGTCGGCTCTTTGTTTTAATCTTCCCAGCTTTGGCTTTCACATCTTGGGGGCAGACAGTCTGGCGTTTACAGCGTGCGCCCCGCTGTGGGAATGGCCGGCACAGGGAGGCTGTTCAGGGAGGGGCCTGCATCGAAAAGCAGGCAGCCAGCCCGGGAAGCCCCATCCCCGTCTCCCAAATGGGGAGACTGAGGCCAGAGTGGAGCAAGGGCGTGTCCAGGTCTGCAGGGGAGCAGGGGTCCCCCGTCCTGGCGTTGTCACCAGGACCCTCCCCTCCCCACGCCCCCACGCCCCCACTCGCCCTCCCTCCCCCGCCCTGTTTCTGGCAACCTCCTCCGAGTCACCTGCCTCTGCCAGCATCTAATGACTTCTTCCTTCTTCCTCCTTCTCAGGAACAAGAAAACCCAGTCCCAAATCTGGAAAACAAAGCATGAATCTGAGCGAAAGGAACCTAGCTGATATCAAAGAAAGCGGCTTGGAGAAAAAGAAATCGGTCAGTCCTGGTCTGCTGACCTCTTTTATATGCGTTTTCTGGCAAAGTGGGGGGGTGTCCTTTCATGCCTGCTCCCTCCTCCCGGGGTAAGTGCAGGTCAGGGTGAGGTTGGGCCGGGAGAGCAGAGGCTGGAAGCAGGGCTGCATGGGAAGGAGCCGTTTGGGTCGTTAAGTGTGTGCAATGAGGCACAGGCTGCGGGTCACTTGTACTTCCGTTGATAATAACACTGTCTGCTGGAGACCTTCCAGATGTGGAGCGGGGCAGGTGTCTCCATTCCAGAGGTCCTATCTCTGAAGGGGATGTTGATGGTGAAAGGGATGATGTCATCATCCTTGAGGATGCACTGGAACCCACCCCCCCATGCCACCGCAAGGCCCTGTGCACCTGCCCCCTCCTCCAGGAAGCCCTGATGCTTAGAAAGCCTCTGTCCCTCCTTGGGACTCCTTGGGCCCTTTCTTCAAACCAGATGCCAAAACCAACTGCTGGTCGGCCCTCCCTCTGTTCCAGATCTTCACATAGGGTCCTCGGCTCTCTCAGCCACACCCCAGTGAAGGCCTCGCTACACAGGCCCTGCAGGCGAGGCACCAAGGCTCAGAGAGGGCTGAAGCTGCTTGTCCAAGGCCATGTGGCTAGTTCAAGGTGGAGCTGGTCTCAGACCTCGGCCCTTTTGTGTCTGGTCTCCTGGGATAGGTGTGGAAACGACCAGCACTCAGAAGAGAGTATGTGCATATTTGTAATAAACTTTTATTTAGCAGGACAAAGATCAACACAAGTATATTTGCCAGATTGCCAGGGAAGTGTGAACTCAGTAGGCTGGTCCCTGTTATCCCCACCTCACAGGTGTGAAAGGGACATCCCGGAAGGCCAGGCCACCCACCTCGGGTCGTCCAGGGACACGGTGGAGTCATGTCCAATAGACAGTCCCCCAGTGGGCACCGTATGCTTTTTCTTGGAGCTCACACGGGGCTGAGTCAAGGCCCCAGTGCACGGGCACTTGGTGTGACGTGTGCTGCACCCCCCGTCGGTGCCCCACCCGCGCCCCACGGCTCACTTCCCCTCATACCCCAGGCTCAGGCCTAGTGCCCTCCCCTGCCGTGCCCTCCTTGGCCTGCATACTCCCCAGGCTGAGTCGTCCAGGGGCCACCTCCTCCAGGAAGTCTTCTGTGACCCAGCCTCAGGGTGGCTCAGCCCCTGCCCTTTCTTCCGGGGCCTCCTCAGCCCTGGAATGTCATGTTGCAACCGAGAGCACCCTGCTCTGGGCCTCAGCTCCACCTGGCGGGGGTGCGCCGGGCAGCTGGCTGTGAGTCAGTTCCATGAAGAGCTGGTTCTCCCGAGTCTCCCTGTGGGACTGATGTGCCCAACAGTCATTGCACTGAACGTGTCGTGTGCTCAGGGAGTCACTCACCTGACAATGCAGGGCTGGCTTGTCCTGGTCCTGGAAGTCCTGGTTCCCCCTCCGTAGCAGCAGCTCTTTCCCTACAGTTGTGTGTCGTGGGGCTGGACGTCCTCACTCACGTGTGACACGACACGTTCTCGGCACGTCTGCAGTGCTCCATGTCTTATTTCCATGCGTGCACTCCGTGAAACCCAGTTTGCTGGCTTCTGGTCCCTTCTTTGTGGACTTGAAGTCACGCTGGTCTCCTCGGGGCCCAGCGTTCCCCACATGCAGCTGCCTGCCTCTGCACCTGCTCTCTGCCTCTGGGAGCCATCGGCCAAGGTGACCTGTCCAGGTGCTCCCAGATGAAGGGTCCCGCTCTGACACTAGGCAAGCGGGGTACAAGGCGAATTAATTCTCACCCTGTCCTCCCATGAGGGCATGGGGGGTCTGGCTGCCTTCACGCCCCCCCAGAGCCAGTGGGGGCGGGCACGTGGGAGGCATTTTCTCAGCCAGCGCTGAATGAGTGGGGCCGCACAATGACCCAGGGGCAGGTTCCTTTGGTTCCAGAACTGCCGGGCAGCCCGTGTCTGTCTCCAGCACGGGCTTCATGGTTTCTCTTTGAACCTCAGAGTAACTGTGCAGGGCCCTGACCGGTGTGGCTCAGTGGGTTGGGCATCGTCCCACAAAGTAAAAGGCTGCTGGTTCGATTCCCTGTCAGGGCACACTCCTGGGTTGCAGGTTCAGTCCCTGCGCGCAAGAGGCAACTGGTCGATGTTTCTGACATCAATGTTTCTCTCCCTCTCTACCTCCCTCCCTTCCCCCTCTCTAAAAACAATCAATCAATTAATTAATTAATTGCCCAAAGAAAGACTAACTGTACAGCACAATCAGGGCAGGGTCCGTCCGTCCTTTGCACTTGCACACATGGTAGCGCAGAGAAGCAAAGCCATTTGCCTAAGGACACAGTAAAAAAAGTGGTGATTGGCAGTGTATGTCATAGATGCTAATTAAAAGCATCAAAGGAGAAAAAATGGGGCGGAGTCAGGGCTGGACTCCATCAGGCTTCTGTGGCAACGTCAGCGACCTTTTCCTCCGTCCCAGCCCCTCGGGAGACGCGCCCTGGGTGTATGCTAGTCTCAGCCCTCCCTGTCCCCAGGCCTTGTTAAGAAGGAAAATAAAAAATTTCCAAAGGAAGGATCACACCCAGGGGTGATTCCCGAGAAGACAGCTCTCACTTGGTGCCCCCTCCAGTTGCTGTGGGACTTGGGAACAGGGGTGGGAAAGAAACGCAGTCCATTTCCTGATCAGACAGGAGAACATTGCCACACTTCCGGTGTGGCGCCCCACCCCCTCCCGTGGACTCTGCCTCCTTAGCCGTAGAGATGTCCCGGGAGAGCCCCTCGGCACCGCTGAGAACGGAGCATGGACTCCCAGGAGCTCAGCTTAGCTCCCCTCACGCAGGGCCCCGGCGACCAGGGGCCCCCCGAGGGGGCCTGGCCCAGGAGCAGGAAGCCAGAAGGGAGGAGAAACCAGGTAACAGAGACAGGGCCTCTGCCCACCACGGGGTGGGGCTCGGAGTCCCTGTGTGTGGCGGTGGGTGATTGTGGCTGCCCTGCCCCAGAGGCCACCGGGCGAGCATCCTGGTCCCTGTGACTTTGGCCGACTCTCCAGTGGCAGCTTCCCGGGACAGAGAGCCCCTGCTGGTGGCGTGGCCAGGCTCACTCATGTGAGGAGACCACGCTGGCTGGTGTTTCTCTTTCCTTCCCCGGCCCCACAGCGGGCACCCTTTGCTCCGGGGGCTGGCAGGGAGGGTGGCAGGCTCAGGCGGGCCTCGCGGGGGCAGGGGGCTCCGGGAGACGGCGCCTGCCCGCTGATGGGCACAGAGAAACCATGGAGACCGTGCCGGGGGCCAGGGAGGCCCTGGGAGAGAAGGGGCCCAGTGCAGCCGGGGGTCAGGGGGAGTGACATCTGAGCCGGGACCCAGATGATGAGTTTAAAGACAACAGGTGACGGGCAACAGTGTTCTGTCCAAAGTCTAATTCTGTGCTGTTCATGAACCCCGTTCAGTTCAAGCTCCTCGTATGCAGAAACACACAGCTGTCCCCAGTATGCACAGGGGACTGGGCCCAGGACACCCAAATCCATGGGTGCTCAAGTCCTTTGTATAAAATGCTGCAGTATTTGCATATACCCTCCACAGATCCTCTCGTACACTTTTAATCATCTCTAGTTTACTTGTAATACCTAATATGGTGAAAGAGTTGTTATACTGTATTGTTTAGTGACTAATGACAAGGGAAAAAGTCCGTATGTGTTCAGCAGAGACGTAACCATCATACAAGTGAGTATGGACTATATGTCAGCAAAGATGTAACTTTTGGGGGGAATATTTTTAATCTGGTTGGTTGAATCCACGAAGTGGAACCTGTGGGAACAGAGGCAGACCGTACTCGCCCCCATGGCCTACAAACGCTCTGCCTCGTTCTCCCTCCCATCGTCAGCGCCTCACCTGCCCCAGCTCAGTGCCTGGAAGCGAGCAAGAAGCAAGAACTCGGCCCGTAAAAAGACCCCCACCCACTGCCCAGCTTCTGCTGCTGACGCTCATGGGCGCTTGGCACAGGACAGGCGAGGACCTTACCTGCTGTAACTACTTTCTTCAGCCTAATATCGTAGGAGGTGGGTTATGCTCAGACCCGTCTTACAGGAGAGGCCCAGGAGTCACCGCGCAGCTCTGTGACTGATCCAAGATCACACAGTTCTAAGTGGCAGAGCTGGGGGTCAGGCGGAGAGGAATCAAAGAGGTAAATGTAAAGCAAGGGGTGGAGCTTTCAGGGAGGAGACAGGGCAGTGGGTCATAGGTAGTCTCTAGAAGGAAGGACCTTGGGCAGGTACCAGGCCAGGTCAAGAGGGACTTCAGCATGCCACGCAGGCAGCAGCTATTCTGTGTAAGCACATTGAAGGGTGTGGGGAGAGGAAAACAAAAGTTGACCTCCTTTCCAAACAATCCCCACACGCACACAACATCCTCCACATCCTTGCCCATGACGTGTTGACCCGTCCACTGGCTGTGCGGCCAGCGCCGCTGGTCAGACCCCGCCGCACAGCTGGGCAGGCCGAGCCCCAGGAAGGCCAGGAAACCGGCGCGGATCCCGCAGCTGAGGGGCGGAGCCGCCGGGGGCAGAGCAGAGCTGATGCTCGAGGAAGAGGCTACTGGGTTGACGATGGGGGCCCTGCTGCCCCTCCCAAAGAGCGTTTGACTGACACTGTTCCATGAACTTCGGGCCTCGTCTCTCTCGTGTCCTGCTGCATCCACAGAGCTTTGTCGGGGCTGGTACTCAGCACACACGTACACTGAATGATGGCGGAGAAGGTGCCTTCCCAGAGCACCTGGACTCCCTCCCTCTGGTGAGCGGCCTGCCCCCCGCCGCCACCCTCGGAGGGCAGCCCTTCCTCCTTCCAGCTCTGCCAGCTGGCCAGCCTCTGCCCAAGGGCCCCGACGCCTCTGCTCTGTGGCTCTGCCGGGCTGTGGCTGTGCTTGGATGGAGCCGCAGGGCAGGATTCCGTGGACGCCAAGACCTGCAACTCTCTGTCTGCAGGTCCTTGTTCCCAGGCGTTCACGCTGGCCTGGAAGACGGGCCCCTCAGCCTGGAACTTGTGTGCACGTCTGTGTGGCTGTCAGGAGCCTCAGGGCCCTGGACACCTGCCCCGGTGAAGAGGCAGGAGGGGAGGGGCTGTGTGGTGCAGTGGGGGCTGGAGCCAGGCCACCTGACCGCTCTGTGCCCCTGCTTCCTCACTTATAAAATCAGGATAAAACAGTACTGACCTGTGGATTCCATGACATGATACCCAGAAAGTGCTGAGAACAACGCCTGGCCTTCAGCTCTTAATATGAGCCAGCGGCTACTGCCGGCCACGCAGCCTGGCTTTGCGTTCCGCTCCTATGTGGGTCGAAAACCGGCCACCTTCAGCCACAGCCACAGTGTGCAGCCCAGTGCCAGGTCTGACGGGCCACCCTCTCCCTTCCAGGGCTGGTCCTGCTTGCTCGTCGTCGCCTCGCTCGCGGGCGCCTTCGGCTCCTCCTTCCTCTACGGGTACAACCTCTCCGTGGTGAACGCCCCAACTCGGGTGAGTGCCTGCGGCCCGGGGTGCGTGGGGCAGGGCGTGCCTGGTGCGGGGTGGTACCGGTCTCTGCAGACCTTGGTGAGGCGGGTCCTGTGCCAGACCCTTGCTGGACCCTGGGGCAGGTAGGGGGTGGCGGGGGGGCTCTGATGGCCGGGGAGGGGACAGAGAGGCCACCCATCCCCGCTTTCGAAGGGGAGGTGGAAAATACAGAAACAGGCATTGGTGATGATCCAAGGGCAGGGGAAGGGATTGCGGGGGACATATCAGTTCTTTGAGGCTGCAGTGTGGGGGTCCTGGAACAGTGTGGGAAAAAGGAGGGGCCTCTGGAGGTACCAGGGGCGATTCCAAGAGCCTCCTTCCAAAGCAAGGAGCACAGAGTCTGAGGACCCACGGAAGGGCCAGAGGCAGAAACATTTTCCTGGTCTGTTCTGTTTGTGTTCCCGTCTTTTCACCAGAACTAGAGGTCACTTGAGAATCCGTTGGTTAAGATCCATCACTGGCTTTTGTTTTCTCTGAAATTGGGTCACTCGAGGCAACTCCTCCAGCACCCCACCCCCACCCGACACCGCCCTGCTGGCGTGCAGGAGAAGGCTTGGCTCTCACCTGCCTCGGCTATTAGGGTTAGGCCCTCCTCATCCCTGGGGGTGCCGGCGTCTACTGGGCCTGCCTCCCCACTTGGGGTGCGGTGGACGGGGGCTGGGGGCCGATTGCCTGGAGGAGGACAGGCCTAGCGTGTCTTGAGGGCGGAGCCAAGGCAGAAAAGCCCCGATAGGAAACACGGCAGGAGTGAGCGCTGCAGAAGGGTGGGTGGGATGCAGCTGGGGCGGGGGGCGCATCTGGGAGGGCACAGGGCAGGAGCCTGGAGGGCACAAAAATGCTGCCAGGCTGTGGACGGCATTTTTTTTTTTTTTACACCATTCACTCTGTGCAAGTTCATTTGTAAAATTGATTCTGATGCTAAAAACAGTTTGAAAACCCCGAAGGTGGAAGCAGTTTCTCCTGACGCTCACAGCTGCCAATGGCTTTGATTTTGTCATTGGGACATCGTCCCGAGATGGAGAGCCGCTGCGTCCATATTTGTCTCTGAAAGAGGAGGGGGGGTTTGCGCTCTTGCTTCTTCGTGACAGTTTGGCAAAAACTCCAGCGGCGGCGGGGGGGTGGGGTGGAGAACCTTTGCGCTCACGGCCCGAGGAGCCAACTCGTGAAACCTGAACCTGGAATAGGAGGACGTGGGTGGACAAATAACGGTTTAAGCAACCACTGTGGGAACATGAGCAAGGGGCGATTCTGTCCTTGTTTCAAAAGATTTTTAATTAAGAAACTATTTTCTAGAGCAGGTTTAGGTTCACAGCAAAACTGAGCAGAAAGCACGGACCTCCCGAGTACCCTTCGGCCCCTGCGGCACACGCCCCCCGGCCTTCCCCCGTCCGCATCCCTCCCCAGGGCCGTGCGTTTGCTACAATCGATGAGCCTGTCTCGCTACTCAAAGTTCATAGTTCACTTTAAGGTTTCCGCGTGATGTTGTACATTCTATGGGTTTTAACAAATGTATAACTGCACGCGTCCAACATCGTAATATCTTACAAAACAGATCTTTTTTTTTTTTTTAACTTTTAAGCTTTGTCTACATATACGTTTTCCCCAAAGATTGTTCATATATGCTGTTTTATATCCTTTCTGGTTTTACGTTTATATTATCAGCCTGTTTCCATGTTGTTGAAAATCTGCCCCAGGATTCCTCAGAGCTGTGTGCCGCTGCAACAGGCAGCTGCCCAGCCTTCCTGGTGTGGCCTCTTACGGCGCTGTCAGTTTTCCTCCAGTATGCGGCTGCATTGTTTAAACTGGGAGCTGTGAGTCATTGTTTGGTTTGGTTTGGTTTGGTTTGAGTTGGAACTGGCAGAGCTGCTGGCTGACCGGAGGTGGGGGTGGGGGCGGGGTCCTCCCCGGGCCTGGGGTGGCATCCGGGCTGTGGGTGCTGCCCTGCCTGCTTCAGCCCCCAGGGGCCCCAGCTCAGCGGGACCGGAAAGCCTGTATCTTTGATTTCAGAATTTTCTCATTTCACAAAGTCCTTCTGGGAAAAATGCTGTTGCTGGGCCTAATGGGGCAAGGACCATGGCCCCGTCAGAGCTGGGGGGAAGGTCTTCCTAGAGGGGCGGGCGGCGCAGGGGACGGAGGATCGGCCAGCCCGGCCCATTTGGAGGGAGCGTGCTGGTGTGAACACACCTGGACAAATAAAACCAGAAACGTGCTAGTTCTGACCCGCGGGAGAGAGACATTGGGATTTACTGAGCACCTACAATAGGCCAAGGATCACACACCCTCATTTAATTCTCCCAGCAGCCCTACCCACAAGCTCGGGTGGCTATTTCTGTTCCACACAGACGTTATCCCAGGCCTGGTGCTCGAACCCAGCGCCCTGAGCGTGGGTCGGATGGGACGGCCCTGGCAAGTCTCTGCTGCCTCCAGGCTGATACTGAGCGGCCCTCAGCCACCGGGGCGGGAACGAGCACAGCCGCCCTTTTCCTTCCAGCCAACCAGAGGCCACGCAGCCAGGGGTGGGAGCGAATGGCAGGTGACTGCACCACCCTCCAGGGAACCCAGCGATGCAGCCTCCTAGAAGAATGTTCCAGCAACAGAGAGGCTCGGAATTAATTATTATTTATTGTTTTAAATAAGAAGGCTATTTGGGAGGACGCACTTCCGTGTGCTCCTGCCTGGGACCGGACGGAAAATGCAGCTTTCTTTGTGTGCTGTATCCTCAACCCCAACAGCCGGGCCAGCCTCCCTCAGGACATAGGTGGTGGGGGACGAGAACCCAGGAAGCTCTGAGAGTCTTACCCACCCAGGTGACCGTTGCTAGCAACTGCCGCGCCCTCTCTCACCATGCCCAGTTTTCATTCCGAGGCCGGCAGTGGGAGCCGAGCGCTCTCGCTGTGTGGAAGTCTAGACGTCCCTTCCCACCCGTCAGCCAGCAGAGGCCCTCCGGGGACCGCCCCGTGGGGAGACCGCGAAGCACCTCACACATGCAAACTGAATGTCAGGTCAAAACGGGAGGGGGACGTGTCCCTGAGGACCTGGGAGGTGTGTTGGGGTCCCCGAGATCACCCCCAGGCTCCATGTGACTCAGCGGGAGGGTCCCAGGACCTGGCACCAGGCACACGCGCAGCCGTGACCTATGACAGGGAGAGGGTGCGAAGCAGGGTCGGCCCAGGGAAAAGGCGCCTGGGGTGAAGCCGCAGGAAACGGGGCTCCAGCTTCCAGAACCCTCTCGCAGGGGGTCGCACGGGACACACTGAATGCCCCCAGCTCTGAGCTGTGACGAGACCTGGGGCGGGGGCCCACCCGGGAAGCTCATCAGAGACCCCGAGGTCAGGGTTTTTATCAGGGGCTTGGCAGATACCCACTTCCCTACTGGCAGTGGGAGCGCAGGTGGTCAGCAGACGCCATGCCGTGCTCCGCTCAGGCCCCGAGAGCCACTCTGGTCAGTCCTGGGAATAGCGGGAACCCTCCCGAAACCCAAGGTCCCCAAAGCCAGCCCAGGGCCAACCTTGCAAGGTGGCCTTTCAGAGGAGAGCAGCCTCCGGACGGATGTTAACTGCTTGCTCTGCTCCTCGGGTGGCATTAGGTGGCGCTGCAAGGCTTATGGAATTTTGTCCTTGTGTGGCCCTTCCTTCAGAGCCTAGCCTGGCCATGGACGCTTTCATGTGCCCACAGCCACGCTGTCCTGCTCGCTGTGCCAGGGCGGTCGGCGGTGTGGCCTGTCCTCACCGCTCCCTCAGGCCCTGTGCTGTACCACAAACGGGGTGCGTGCTCCGGTCCCATCATGAGCGTGCTCTGTGTGTGCGTTTTTATAGCACTCCTGAGAAGAAGTATAGACGGAGCCAGACGGGCTCTGTGCGGATCAGTAAAACAGGAATATCGTAAAACAGGCTACAAGGTAATTTACCTCCCGTAGTCTGGCAGTTCGCTGTCGTCCTGGGGGAGTGTTCTGCGCGGGTCTACCTCCCTGCGGGTTGAGGTGCAGGACACTGCCAGGAGCCTGGTCCCTGAGTCACTGGCTCAAGAGGGGGTGGTAAGTTATTCACGGATTCAGAGGCCTGCGAAATAAACACGTCTAGGGCCCTTACTCACAGACATAGGCGTAGTGGCATCAGCACCCCCACCAGCCGCCCCCCTTCCAATTCTCACTGTGCGCTTCCTGCGGACCCAGCGCTGAGCTTTCTCTTCATCCACACGTGAGTTCTCATGCACAGTCTTTAAGGAGGAAAAGGACTTCAAGGGTAGGGAGCCGGAGGCACAGAGAGGCTGAGTGACGTACTCAAGGTCACCTAGCGGAGAAGTGGCAGAGATGGGAGTTGAACATAGTGGATTCCCAGGGCCCTGGCCCACTGAGAGCCTGGCCCTCCGAGGCACAGCAACGTGCCAGAGGTCACAGACAGACTGAGGGGCTCAGGCAAGCCTTGAACCCAAGAGCCTCGCCTCTTGGCTTAGCCACCTGTCCCTTAACCATGCAGCCTCTTACTCATTTCTTGGCAATTGGAGCTCTGGTCAGTACCCATCAAAATAGAAATATTTCTTGATGAATTCATTCCAAAACTCCAGCCACCTCATCATGTCTTACCGATCGGAGGAGCCTCTGGATTGGTCTGGAGGCCTCCAGTCTGAACTTTCTTCTGTGGCCTCCACACAGCACCTACAGCGGTCTGGCCCACACTTCGGACCCCTTGATTCCACGCCGGATCCTCCAGCCGCTCCCCGTCCCTCACCCAGGGTTAGGCCTGGGCTCCTGGGGCTGGCAGTCCAGGCCGGTTCTGACCAGCCCCTGCCTCATTCTCCAGGCTTTCTCCTCTGCTGGGTCACCCTCCAACGTCGGCGCATCATTTATGGTCCTTCCGTGTCAGCACGTGGCTTCCAGCGCTGAGCCTTTGGGAACTCTGACTACTATCGTCTGCCCGAGCCCATCCCACCTGCCCTTCTCGCTCGCCTGGGCTGGGTTTCCACAGCTGGGGTTCCTCAGCCTTTCTCAGCGCCTTCCACCCCGTGTTATCATCGCAAGTTTACTCTGCTGTTGTCTCCACTAGATCCCTGGCTCCTTGAAGGCAGGGACTGCAGAACTTTTGTCTAGAAGACGGGATGGGAGCCTGGTGGGGAGGGGCCGCTAGAGAGACCGGAGCGTGGGCCTGTGGAGGTCAAGTATCGGAAAGTTCAGGCGTGGAATCCGTGAATGAGGTGGCCCCGGGGATGCCTAGAGGTCAGCTAGGACAGCAGACCTTCGACGAACGTCGCTTCATTCACCGTCCTTTCGTTACAACATTGATGAGATGCGGTAGGAACTTAACTCTTGTTTTTACCAATAAGACTATGGTAGAGCTGATTTTGTTATACGTCGTTTTGCTTTAAGCCACAGACGCTGTTGGTGATGCTAAGTGAGGACTTAGTGTAGAAATAAAATGTACAGGTTACCTGTTTTCATGATTATACGGTGACTGACCCACAGCAGAAATTCAATTTAAAACACTTATTCAACCACCCGTTATGAGCCACGCACTATAAGTCAGTGTCCGCAGGTGCTAGGTCTGCAAATCTCAAACTCAGCGGCTGTTTGCAAACAGCCGAACAACCTTCATCTCCCGGCTCCTGTGACCTTGTAAGCCTCCAGGCTGAGGCCTTGGCTGTATTGACACCTGGCGAAGACAGACATTTAATCGCCAAAGTCATCACTTGGAAGCCAGCTTTCAGGGGGCCCTGGGGAAGGGTGCTCCCACCCACGCACAGGCCGGGCCGCCTGTCTCCCATCCTCCCCCACTCTCCGCAGCGACCCCTCAGCCCCACCAAGCACTGAGCCATAGAAATCCGCCCCCTTTCCCTCCCGGCCCCTGAGTGGCTGGAAAGGAAAAGAGAGAACTTCCTGCCAAACGGCGTCCTCTCAGTTTCTACACATGGACTCCAGGAGCACGGCTGCCCCCGTGCAGTAAGAAGAGGCCCGGGGCTGGGGGTCGGCGAGGCAGCTGCACTTGCTTGAGTCCGTGCAGGATGGCTGCGGGGGCCAAGGCCGCCTCCAAGAACAGCCACCTAGGCATGGGGGTCTCCTGTTTATCGGGCAGCGGGAGGGGTGCCTGGGAAGCCCTGGTACGCGCTCCAGCTTCTCCGAAGGGTCTCGACCCTGCAAATGCTCGCTGTTGCCCGCGGGGCCTCCTGTACCCCTGCCTTCCTGGGGCCTCTCCCCTAGGAAGTCATCCCACTTCCTCCTGCTGTACGGGGGCCCCTTGAGGGCCGTTGCTCTTGCACTTGCCGGGGCTGCAGAGCGTCTGCCCGCAGCGAGGGCTTTGCTGATGCTCCCGTCAAATCGACACGTGCACACTGGGCTTGGTGCTTCTCTCCCGCACCTTGACTGGGAAGTGAGGAGTCCACCGGCGGGCGGGGGCTTTTCGGCCCTGGGGCCAGGCCGATGTCACACAAACCCTCCCCCACCACCTCAGCCGCGTGACTGCGTGAGTGCTGTGACTCTCGGTTCCCTCCTCCGAAAAGGAGGGTTTCTCCCTCTAGGGTTGTCGTGAGGATCAAATGATATCGTTTCGATGTTCTGGCAGAGTTTCAACAGTCGGGAGTGACAGTCATCGTTTTGTCCGATTGAAGCCCCCAAAAAGGTGTTGAAAAGGTAATGAGCGGCTCGCGGGGTTGGTGGGGGGCTGGCCAGCCTCACCCGGGAGCTCCGCGGCCTGGGATGACACCCTGAAGCAGGTCAGAGCTGGGCCTGGGGGTGCCCTGTGGCCACCCGTGCCGTCTGCCGCACCTGGCATAGCATCTCAGCGTCCACGGGGCCACTGCCATCCCCCAAGCCACTTCTGCCAGGGAGACCCCTCTGCTGGCTGACAAGTCTTGGCCCCGTTCCTTAGCCTCAGGAGCCTCGTGCAAAGTCCAGACCTCTGATGGCTGAGCCCTAGTCACATATCCACTCCCTAGCTGCAAGGGATGCTGGGAGGACAGGTGTCTGGCATTTTCAACCTCCGCAGTGATGAGCGGGCTCTGTTTCCCACAGGGCTCTTAAGGTGGGAACGTCTCCCACATGGGAAGGGGGGTTCTGACGCCGGGTAGCCAAAGGGGTAACAGATGTTCCTGGGGTACATGAAAATCAAAGGTCAGTGTTAACGTCCAGCCGCTGACAGAGAGCACCTTGGGGAGCGAGAGACAGTCGGCTGCTGTGGTAGTCCCCGTGGTTATGTGCAATGCTACCGAGGACATTTGCATAGATGTATCCTAGGATGGAGGGAGAAGAGGTTGTTACAGGAATTTTCTAGAAATGGATTTTATAGGTTGTACCATAGAACAGGGACATCTCCAATTTTACTAGATGATGCCAAACTGATTTTCCAAGATGGTTATACGACCTGAACTCCCACCGCAAGCGCCGCAGAGCACGCGCTGCCGATGGGTCCCTGCGTGTCTCACCAGACATGCCCAGTCTCCGGCTGCCGGGGCTCGCGGGAGCTCTCCCCCAGAACGGGGCTCTTGTCGGGGCCTCACAACAGCCCTGAGACATCAGGGTCATCATTCTCGTGTTGCAGATGAGGAAGCCAAGGTCCCGCAGGTTTACGTTACTAGCAAATCATGACACTGAGATTCACGCCCAGGCCTATGCAGCCTGAACTGGCGGTTTTTCCACAGCAAGTGCACTGGCGTGTGGAGAGCTGTGTGGGCCCATGCTGGATAGCAGCGGGTGACTGAGCATCTCGGGGAGAGAGCCCTCTTGGGGAGTGCAGTGCTGTGACCTTCGTCTTTGTTCCACACCCGAGTCACCCAGTCCCCAGCCCAAACCCACGGCATCGAGTTGATAGTGACAGGGGTCAAGTGGCTGTGAAGGGGTATCTCCGTGTGGTTCTAACTTGCCTTTCATGAATGATGGATGATGCATGAATGATGTTGAGCATCATGTCATTAGCTTACTCGTCACTTGGATTTTCTCTGGAGCCTGCCCGAGTCTTTTGTGTGTTCTAAATTGGGTCATTTGTCTTCTTACTGATGTGTGTGAGTTCTTTCGAGATCGTGGATACGAGTCCTGTGTAATATCTGTGTGGCCAATATGTCATCTCAGTCTCTAATTTTAATGAAGGGCAGACGAGCGCTTTGCTTTTCTTCTGCGGCGAGTGTTTCCCGAGCCTGGCATCCCGGCCTGCCGCCGGCGGGCACTGACGTTCTCTGACTTCCGTTAGGCACGCGCCTCTTTATCGCGTTCCCCGGGAGAGTCTGCTGGGCGCCGCAGCTGGAGAAGCCCAGGCCTCACATCCACTCTTGGTTTGGAGTCAGATCTGAGTTTGAGTCCCAGGTTTGCCACTTACTAAGCAAGTCACTTTGTCTCTCAGAGCCTCAGTTTCCCCATTTGCAAAACGAGGTGAAAACTAGCCCCCATCCACAAACGCAGTTAGAAGCACTCAATGAAATAAAGCTCAAACGGAACTCAGCGAAGCCCTAGTAGGAAGAAAGGGTCCAGTCCCAACTATTTTGTTTACACACCAGCTGGCTTCAAGCAGCAGGGCAGGGCAAAAGGAGTAACCTGGTTTGTTGTTTGTTTTCAGTACATCAAGGCCTTTTACAATGAGACGTGGGAGAGACGGTATGGACAGCCGATAGACCCGGACACTCTGACTCTGCTCTGGTCAGTGACCGTGTCCATATTCGCCATCGGTGGACTCGTGGGGACGCTATTGGTGAAGCCGATTGGAAAGTTTCTCGGGAGGTCAGTGGGTCTGTCTCCGTTTGTGGACGCGCTCCGTAATGTTCATAACATGTCCCTAGTCAGGATCCCAGCCGACAACAAAATGCTGCTTAGTTCACCTGGAGAGACTTGATACTTGATCTTAGCCAAAAGGCCGAGAAGTGGTCTATGGGAGAGACTTCAATGTGAGAAGGTCATGGGATGGAACGGGGGCACCAGACGTCGAGGGGAAGCAGAGCTGTGGGCGGGGGGCTGCCGACCGGGAGCTGAGGGTGTAGGGCGTCGGGCTAGATCAGAATTCTGCCGTCCAGAGTTGGAGGGGCCGGGAAGAAACGCCCTGGCTCCTCCCTCCCCGGCTCCACCCCAATCTGCTGCTGATGCCTCTCGTTGGTCAAACCCAAGCGGAAGCCAGAATAACCAGGGGCTTTATGACTGAGGTCTAGAGGACCAGGTCCCGGGCACAGAGCAGGGCGGGAGGGAAGGGACAGACCTGGGTGCAGCTGCCGATGGAAAACAGAAGAGCGCAGTGTCTTCGAGGTTGTTCCACATCAGCACAGGTAGCTCTGCTTCTCAAAGATCGGGTGTTTCGGCCATCTTGCATTATATGACTGCATGATACTTTATTTAACCAGTTCCCTTTAGATAGACATTTAGGTTATTTCAAATCTCTTGCCTTCAAATACGGCTGCAGCGAGTATTAAAGACTTCACGTTGGAGCTTCCTTTCCAGGCTCCCTCCAGTCAGATAGTGAGCTGCATCCCTCACTTATTTGCATCATAAAAGCGTCTCTCAGATCAGACTGATGTATCGAAGTCTCCCAGATGCTTCTTCCATGCCCTTGCCGAGGACTCCCAGGGACACACTGAGGCACCGATGGGGAAAGCAGGACCCCTGGAGCGTGCACCCCTGAACTTGAGTCACGCGCCTCCACTCGCCAGCTGCGTGCCCTTGGCCGAGTCATTTCATGCCTTTGAGCTTTAGTTTCTTCGCTGTGAAAAGGAGGCCCCTGTTCCTGCCCTGCAGGGGCGTTAGGAGCTAGGGAACATGAAGCGGGAGGGTGGCCCATTAGCAGGAGCCCAGTAAAGAGAAGCAGTTATTATTTACCGTCATCCTGACTGTCACCTTGACAACCAGGGTAGTAAGAGCTCGACAGATCTCCGTATTGGAGGGACCCCCGCAACTCTCCCCGGACCTGGGTCTACGAAGGCCCGTTAGGAAAGGGGCTGCCCACCCCTCTGCATGCGGCCTCCCATCCCCAACAAGGAGCAAGTGAGAACTGATGACACTTGGAGAGCAGGCTTTCCGAAGGCGGGGGCGGGATGCCACCTTGCAGTCATCCTCGTGGTGCCTACAGACAGGTGCGGTGACATTTTCCTTGTCCCCAAGGCCACTTCCAGGGCCGTAACTCAGGGTAACTCAGTACCGGGGAGGCGTAACAGGGCAAAGGCTGCATGTTCGGAGGTCCCCCCGTGTTCCAGGTATCCACTCACGCTCTTCTGTTTAATTCCCTTGACTCCCTGGGGTCTGTGGGTGGGAAATGGGAGCTCAGAGCTCACACGCGGTGCCTGAACTCAGGTTGGAACCAGCGCGTGAGAGCCACGGCACCGTGGTCTTTCCTGTTCCAAGCAGGTCTTAATTAGGCAAATCCACGAGTGTCTGACGACAGGTGAGTGGCCGGCTGGCCACCAGCTTGGCCCCACTGGCCGGGCCACTGAGGCACTGCTGCTGGGGCCCGGGCCCGGGCCCGGGCCCGACTCTGGTCCCAGTCTCCTTCCTGTCCCAGTTAGGTGGCATTGCCCCCAGACCCAGGCTCTGCGGCCTGTGACAGGGACCTGTCTGATATGTGGCCCTGGCACTTTTCCCCCAGACTGTCCCATAAGCAGGCTCTGAACTTAAGCAGATGGCACAGGGAAAGGGACACCGGAATGGGGCTCAGGATGCCGCGCCCAGCAAGCCCTGACTCCTCAACGTGCCGAGCGGGTGGCACGGGACTTGGCCGGCCCCCCTCTCAGCCAGCGCTCTCCCCGTGTGCTCAGTGAAGGCAGTGACAGTGGCTTCAGCAGCATGGCAGCCGCAAAAGCAAAAGGAAAGCACCGGAGGAAACGGGTCTGAGAGGTCCTACGCTTCGCAGCGACGGACGCCTGGGATGCGCAGCGATTCGATTGCAGGTGCTGGTCATTCTGCTCCAGGCAGCTGCCCGTTCCTGCTTCCATCATGGTGGGGACAAAAGCTGAATGGGGGTGACGTCCCAGCTGGAGTCGTAGCTCTGCCGGGAGGAAAGACAGCAAAAACTGAAGACAGTTACCACCGGTCCGTCTCCTGCTACATTCCGTGCTTAACGTTCGGTGTCTCCTGCAACGGCTTGTGTTACTGTCCCTGTTCCACACATGGTGGGTCCGAGGCCTGAGAGGCTCTGCGAGGTGTCCCAGGTTCCAAAGAATGCGGGTGACCGGCAGTTCACATCTGGGCCTGCGTGACTGGGAGCCTGCACTCTTGCTGCCACAATGTGCCAATTGCAATGCTTCTGGAGCCCTCCTTACTGGTCCCCTCTGGGAGCTGTCGCAGAGGAAGAGGAGGCTGGGCTTGATGTGCAAGGCCCGGGTCGGGGCCAACGGAAGGGGCCGGGAGAGAGGTTCAGCTGGAGCTGGGCATCCTGGGAGTCAGGTGGGCGTGGTCACCGGCAGACCCACCCGGCAGCTGATCCCGGGTAGGGCATGTTAAATTCTCCTGTGATTTGGGAGAGGGACGAGGATAGAGGACCACAGGGGCCAGGGACCATCTCTGGATATAAGCCATCCCATTATCTGGTCTCAGGGGTGCAGGTGCTTGGTCTCCTGGACTCTCTGGCTCAGAGAATTCTGGCCATGGATAATTGCTTTTGAGTCCCAGTCCCTCACCTAGGGCCATTTGTCCTCTGCTTACATGGCTTTAGTGACAGACCCTCTGTCCCTCGTGAGACAGGACGATGACCGCGGTGGTGCGTCGTCGCTGGCTACAGGCTCGGCCTCGAGTCTGCGCTCTGATACTCATGGCTCGCGGGGCACGAGCGTCTCAAAGTCTCTGGACTTCACTTGGTTCGTGGGAAAATGAAGACTGAGCCTCAGGATTGTCCTGTGGATGTCAAGCGTCCTTCTCAGCGACTCGCGCAGGGCCAGCACCCAGCTCGGGCTCACTGCCATCCCAGCACCGCCACCGCCGGCCCTTCCCGAGGAGCGCCCTGCCGTCAGGCGGCAGGGCCGATGGGCATATTCTTTAAAATGCACCGAAATGGGCCTCCTGACCCTTCCCTGGATCCAGTTCTTCCCTCAAGAGCAGAGCAGAGAAACCAGGGAAGAGACATGGGGCGACCCCCGTGGGCTCAGGGATCAGATCCTGGACCCACTTCTCGGGCAGGTCTTCTGCCCAGGCTCATTCACTCACCAAAGATTCCCGATGGCTCACTGGAAGCCGGGCTCTGGGCTTGGCCCTTGGGTGGCCGGGACCAAGGCCTGCCGCCTGGGGCAGGTGCTGCGGCAGGGAGGCGGGCCCAGAGCAGTTCATTACGAAAATCGTGCTGACATGTCCCGTGTCACTCAGAGCCTAAATCAAACTGGCTTAGGCCCCAACTTTGAATTGGCTCCCATAACTGAACTCTACTGCAATCGAATCCAGCAGCTCGCATGACATGATAAGAAAGTCTGTTTCCTCTGCCTCTGGGCTCCGCCTCGCTCTGTGTTGGCTTCACGCACGGCAGCCTTTCCCCTCGTCAGTGCGAGGTGACCCCTTCTTCTTGGGCAGACACTGTTCCTGCCAGCACCTCAGCACACATTTATGGAATCTCATTTGCTTGAGTGAGGTGGCATGCCCTCAGGGGTCCTCAACCAGAGGCAATGTTGCCCCGTCAAGGGACATTTGACAATGTTTGGAGACATTTCTGATTGTCACAGCCAAGGGGTGTCACTGGTATCTAGGAGAGGCCAGGGATGCCACTAAGGCACAGGACACCACAAAGAATTCCCAGCTCCAAATGTTAACAATGACACAGTAGGATTCCTGGCGAATGACGTTTCTAATGTACTTTAAAATGACTATGTCACATGCCCATTCCTAGAGCCACCATTGGGTGGAGACAACCACCACCAGCCCCCACACTGAGAGTAAGGGCAGGAAGGCTTCCTGGAGGAAATGCCAGGGACGCCCACCAGAAGAAGATGAATGGGTAGGAAACAAACCCCAACAACTAACACCCTGTGTGTCATACCAGGCACAGAGCAGGTTCTCAAAAGCATCATTTTTCTGTCCTCTTTTTCTACTTCAATCTTTTAAAACATGTCTCTATTTTATAGTGGTAGGGAAGAATGTTAGCTCCCTACATGCCGGCCGGTGAAGCCCGCATTGCGCGCCGAAGCATATATCAGTCAGCTCGTGCAGCCACAAGCTGTCGCAGGCTGAGCCATCCACTCCGCGGAGGGTTGGGAAGATGGTGAGGATTGGCCAACAAGGTCGGTGCGGACCCGCCCCTGGGTGCAATCTGGAAAGTGCAAGAAGGGAGGAGGTGACCCACTGTGTCCAACGCTGCTGAGAAATGAAGGCAAGACCTGAGCTCCAGAGGTGGATTTAGCAGCATGGAGGTTGCTGGTTGCCAGGACAACAGCTGTTTCAGGGGCACAATGGGGGAGACAAGCATTGGAGAGGGTGTAAGAGAGGGGGAGAGATGAAGAAATGGAGACAATGAACAAGATGCTCTTTTCGAGGAGTTCTACACAGGGGAGCAGAGACGATGGTAGGTGGAGGACGATGGAGGACAGGGAGCATTGTTTCTGTTTGTTTCCTTTTAAGATACGAGCTACGCCAGCACATGAATGAGATGTTCCAGCAGAGAGAGCAATGTTGATAGTCAGGGGCAAGAGGTGAAACTTGCTGATGCCTTGAGCGGACGACGGGGGTGGGCGAGCAGTGGGTAACTGGAGGGCTGGCCCTCGGGTAGGAGTGGGGAGGGTCTGTGCATAGAAACAAGGGCGGCGGCATCTGGGAGCAGAGGCAGGCGGACGGTACGCGCGGGAGGGACATGGGCGCGGTCTCTCCGGATTGCTTCCGCGCTCAGTGGAACAGAAAGTAGGTCGTCAGCTGAGAATGGGAGCGGGGATCTGGAGAGAGACGTGTGAAACAGCCCTCTAGCAGAGCTGGAGACTGAACGGACCAGGAACCTGTAGAAAGGTTGCTAAGGGCTCTAACGGCCACTTGAGATTCACAGCTGTGAATTTCAAGGGGGACCAGTGAACATAGTTGTATGTTTTCTCCAGCCAAGCTGTGCTTTGTGGTGTGCGTGCGTGAGGTCGGCCCGTATCTAACTAGGGCTGGGCTTTGGCCAAGAACATATAATGACGGGAGCAGGTTGGTGGCTCAAGGAGCCGAAGGCGTATGAATGTTTGGAACAATGGACCTTGTCATTCAAGCTGGGTACGCAGAAGTGAGAGGACCTGAGGCGGCCGAATGATGGAAGCAAAGTGCCATCTTGGCTTGTGGGCTTGGGACTGGGTCAGGCTAAAGAATCGCTGGAAGGGTAGGTGCTGGGAGCCAGTATCCCCAGAGGTTTCCCGTTTCACTTGGGCTTCATGAAGAGTCCTTTCTAAATCAAAGGGAAATAGTATCCCTCCGTCCTTCCGTCACTTGATCCTGGTCCTGTGTATGGAGTTGAAGTATGACATTGGGGGAGGCAGCTCTGACACCCTCCCTGCGCCTTCTCTTGTCCAGGCTAAATGTCCCCTGCTCCTCTCACCGTTTCTCAAGGGACAGGGTCTGCACTCTCCTCATCGCCCTGCCACTCTTCCTTGTATTCGGCTCCTCACCGCCCCCGCTCCCCCCACCCCCTGCCCGGGGAGCTGATGATCCTCAGGGCTGCACAGGGAGGAGCCTGCACTACCGCAGGAGCTCCAGACAGCGAACTAGGCGTCCGGTGGAGTTCCAAGGGCGCACCGGTGTCCTGCTCTCAGAACTGGCCTGACGCGCTCCCCTTGTTTCTGCTGCCGCGTCTGTTCCCAGGGAAAAATGGAGACGCGGTGATGGAAACCCCCGTCTCCGAACCCTAGTGAGTCAGCTTTGTGAACTGTTAGCAAATAGGGCTTCCATTCTCACGGGACGCTGCCAGGTTAGGGGGTAGTAACTTGGGGAAGGGATACAGCGGTATGCTGAACTCGCTTCAGGGGTGTGCAGCCCTGTTTGCAAATGTTTCAGGTCAGACTTGGGTGCGCTTAGCACAAAACACACCGTCGGATCCAATGCAAGAGCTCAGGCTGAAGCCCGCGGCGACGTCCTTGGCTCCTCTCCTCCCCACCTCCATCTGGTCCCTCTGCAAAGCCCGTCAGCTCTGCCTTCCAGACACGCCAGGGTCCGAGCCCTTCTCACTGCTGCCACTGTTGTCATGGGGTCCAAACCACCGTCAGCACTTGCCTGAGCTCTTGCAGGAGCTTCCCAATTGGTCTGTTTCCACTCCTTCCCCTACCGCCCAGGGTCAACACAGAAGACTGTACAGTCTCGTAAAATGCCAGTCAGGCCATGCCATTTGCCCCCTCAGAACTTCCAGTGGCGGCCCATCTCACTTGGGGCGGGGTGGGGGGGACCTGAGTCGCTATGGGCTGCCCTGCAGAGACAAGGGGCAGTGGCCTCAAAGGAAGGGAGGCAAAGAGACATACTTAGATGTGCTTGTGTGAGGATGATTGGACAGCGAAGGAATGAATTCTTTGCAGGGCAAGGAGATAGCCAATGCACCAAGGACACTTTCCATCAGTGGGCAGTTCCACGCAGAGGCAGGCAGGCAGCGAAGTTAAGGGGGTGGGGGGGATGCGGTGGTGCTACCTCCCCCTCTGAGAATGGAAGGTCTCACCAACACTGACAGCTCTGGGTGGTAAAGATGAAATGCCGCGGCAGGAGGTCACTTATGTAAAGCCATGCTCTTTCCAGCGCTCCGCTAAAGATCTCTCCCTGCGGCTGCGCCAAGGGTTGAGACCCTCTGGGGTGGACACCGGCATCCCTGCCCTTAGGAGCTGTTGGTGAATCTGCTGAGCACCGAGCCTGAGAACCACTAAGGGATGCTAGCGTCACTTTGAGGGTCATCCTGCATATCATCCCAGGACCAAACATCCATGCCAGCTGTGGCAGGGCAGTGGACCTCGGGGGTAGGGGTTGAGGTCTGATCTCTAATCAGCCCCTTTACTTCTCCCTGTCTACAGGTTACAGACATGTTGTTTGGTCCAGCATCCAAGGACACTCTGAGTCTGACCCATTTTCCTCTTCTACCTCCCCTGTCTCGACAGCCCCTTCGCAAATATATCTTACATGAGACTCCACACCCACAGGGATTCGTCCTAGGAGGCCTCGGGGGGTAGAGCTGGGACTCAGAGACGGACCTGCAGGAAGACTATTTTGACTTGTAGTGAGAAATCATTTTTTCACAGGAAAGCGATCACCTGGCCTGGGATGGAAGGTCCAAAGGGAGAGGCAGCATCGCTGGGGCCCAAAAGCCAGAGCCACTAGGTGGAAGAGGGCAGGTTGCTGGGGCCACTGAGGGGGACGCAGTTGCTGCAAAGGAAGCACAGGGGGAGGGAGGGGAATACCTGCTTCTTCCCTCCCCCACCCTCCAGACTAATATCAGGCTGCTCATTGGTCAATGCTACCAAGAAGCCCAGAAGCAAGGGAGGCTGGGAAATGCGGTTCCCTCTGAAACAGAGCAGGGCCAAGAAAGAAAGGATTAGAGGACCAAAAAGCATATGGCAGGCACAGTTCCCAATTACACTCTCACAGCTTCTCTATCTTTACTTTCAGAAGCCACAAAAGTCACTGACTTTTGTGTGATGATTTATTTGATGTCTATGACCCTAACTAGGTTGCAAACCCCGTGAGGGCGAGGACAGGGATGCCTCTCATATTCCAGATGGTATACCCCGTGTCCAGTACTCACTAAACGCTGGCTGAGTGGACACGCGAGTGAAAGCACCTTCAGTCTTCCCACCACTGCCTCCAACCACGGCCCTGTTTTCTTCTCAAGGCCACAGGTCAGTTCCTTAAAGGACAGAAGGGCAGGACCGTGAACGGGAACACAGGGCAGTGCCCTGAGGGCGCACGGTATTGTCATTGCACTGCGAGCGTCCCTCAGTAACAGAAATTAGCACCCCCGGCTCACCTTCATTGCGTCTGGGTCCGTGACCTTCTGGAGCACAGTAAGGGAGGTTACTCGATATTGGAGTTTTTGTTTTACGTCTCTGCTAATTCCCACTTTTTTCCCATCATGAGGTCCATTTAAATCAATTTTTAAAAAGTAAGAGTGTGTTCCTTTTTTTTGAGTAATTAGCACATTTATAAGGCTTAACTGTCCAAAGGACCAACAGAACGTCAAGTGAAAACCTCCCTCCTCCTTTCTGTCCTCCAGCCACTCTGCTGTCCTCTCCGGACACAACCAGGGTTATCAGCTTTTTGTGTGTCTTTTCCAAGGTCCGTGCCTTTCTACACACACACACACACACACACACCCTTCTGTATCACACAGATTGTTTCATATACTACACAAAGTTCTGTACCTTGGTCTTTGCACTTGAGAGTATGTCTTCGAAATCTTTTCATATAAGAATATAGAAAGTTATCTCTGATTTAATGTCTGCATAATGTGCCACTTGATGGGTGTACCATGATTTATTTGAATAGTTCCTTGTTAATGGACACTTGGGTTGTTTCGCTCATTTGCTTTTATAGAAGATGTTGCAATGAGCAGTCTTTGAGCCACATCACTGAGTTGCGTATGTCATTAGCTTTGGGACACTCCAAGAAGATGTAGGAAGGGGAAAGAAATTTGATGGGAAGTTTGAGATAAGTAAGAAATAGTGAAAAGGGTGCTGGCCTGGAGAGATCTGCCTTCTAAAAGCAATAACAAAGTCCCCTTTCAAATCCCTAATTTCTTACAATTTATACAACAGTTTAATGTCTGTTAATTCATTGAGTCTTTAGGGGGGGGGGAAATATCCTATGGGAGGCTAAGATGTTTCCCCAGCTCCTTGACTCACTAGTTGTATGACCTCCAACAAGTTTCTAATTTGTCTGTGCCCTGGTTAACTTCTCTATAAAATAGGAATAAGACTATCACCTACCTGATAGGGTCACTTCGAGCCATAGACAAGCTACTCACGTAAACAGCGTATAATGAGGTCTCTCTCAGAGCATGGGTCCCATACATGTGAGCTACTGTGATCATTTGGCAGGTGAGGAATAAAGCACAAAGTCACCCAGCTCATAAAAAGAGGGAGTTGGTGTAGGAACCAGGTCCCAGGCCTCCACACAAGTCATGCTTCTAAACCACAAAGCCTTAGAGACGCGCTCATGAAACAGCTGTGACCGTCCTTCATAGACCGGTTCATGGTAATGACAATCAACCCCAGCGGTGAACCCCCGAAGGAGCAAGTGCCTTGCTCAGGATCACACACAGCCAGAGGGGGCCGTGGGGGCCATAGGGACCCTGCTCCCGGCTGGGCAGGCTAGTGACAGCCCCGTGGACGTGCCTCCTCATCAAACCTCTCCTTTTCTTCCAGGAAGAACACCCTGCTGGTCAACAACATCTTTGCGATTTCCGCTGCACTGCTGATGGCCTGTGCCCTCCAGGCAGGAGCCTTTGAAATGCTGGTCCTGGGCCGCTTCATCATGGGCGTGGATGGAGGTAAGGCTTCCCCAGGGCTGGGGAGGATGGGGACACGTTCCTGCATTCCTGGAGGGGAGGGTGTTGTCATTTTACAGGAGGACACTGAGGCTCAGAGATGTGAGCACATTTATGCAATATATTTGAAAACTTTAGATAAAATGTCTAGAAAGAAAAAGAACTTACCAATACTGACAGAAGAGAAAATAAAATATCTGACTAGTCCTATTCTATTGAATTAGTTCAACATGTAATTTAAAACCTTTCAGCAAAGGAAATTCAAGGCCCACATGGCTTCTCTAAGGCAGAATGACACCAACACCAAACAAACATTTCCTGGCTCATATTATACAATGAGCATGTCCTTGATACAATATCCTATAAGAACTTTACAGGAAAGGAAATTACAGGAATATATCAGTAAGGAATATAGACATCAAACTCTTGTACAAAGAATTAGCAAAGAATTCTAACAATAAACATAATATAAAACACAAAAAGATAATATGTCAAGACCGAGCTAGGCTATTCCAGCAATGGAAGATTGGCTTAATATTTGAAACTCAGCCCTGGCTGGTGTGGCTCAGTGGATTGAGTGCTGGCCTGTGAACTGAAAGGTTGCTGGTACGATTCCCAGACAGGGCACATGCCTGGGTTGTGAGCCAGGTCCCCTACTGAGGACACTCAAGAAGCAAACACACATTGATGTTTCTCTCTAGTCTCTCTCCCTCCCTTCCCCTCTCTCTAAAAATAAATAAATAAAATCTTTTAAAAAATGTTTGAAATTCAATCAGGGTAATTCACCATACTTACAGAATAGATTTGAAGAAAAAAAATCATATGATTATTTTGACATATGCAGAAAAGTCACTTGATACTATTCGATATTCATATAAAGATAAAAAAAATTTTTTAAAAACCCAACTCTTAGCCAACTGAGAATAGAAGGAAATTCTCTTACAATAATAAAGGTTGTGTACAGAAACCTACAGTCGCCACCATACTCAATACTAAGGTGTCAGTGGGTCTTCCCCTGAGGTCACGAGCAAGAGCAGATGCCGCGCTCGCTATCCTAAGTCAGCATATTCCTAGAGGTCCCAGCTAATGCAATGAAGTAAGCAAAAAAAAAATTAAAAATAAGGATTAAAAAATTGGAAAAGAGGAACTAAAACTGAGGAACAAAAAGAGGATAATGATCCAGACGAGGCACAGGGCGCGGCGTCCTCTGGGGCGCCGGCAACTGGAGGTGGACGGTCGGCTCCGGCGGGGTGAGCCCAGGCGAGCACATTTGGTGACAGCTCATCACGCTGCACACAGAGTGTTCGGGCGATTTAAATGCGGATGTCATACTGACTTTTCAAAACTTACGTCTGTCTTTGACGAAATGCTTAGCTCAAATTGTCCTGCAACCTGACAGAAAACTGCAAATTCCTAGTCATTTCTAGAGTGTTCTTTCTGCATCTCTGATTGTCCCTAGAGCAGATTCTGCTTTTTATGAGCTGAAAGGTGCTGTAGAAGTCGGACTGCTGGAAGGATCGGGAAGTCGGGCCCGCCCTGCATGAGGGAGTGCACCCTCTTCGCTCCTTGTACCCTCAGACCACGTACCGGAGGAAGGGGCAGGGTGTGAATGGGTTCTGGAGTTACACAGTGCTGGTGGACTGGGATGGCGTTGATGTTTTAGAAGAGAGTCCCAAGAATTCTGCCCTCTGTGCAGTTCTTGGCCTCTGCAGCTCCCCTCAGACTAGCCACGGGGGCCTGTTGCTCTAGACCACAGTTAAAACTGAGTGCCAGCCTGCGGGGGCCTGCAGACCCCAGCCCCGAGTCACCCCACGACCCGCCCCCCCCCGCCCCCGCCCCCGCCAGTCCATGCAGGCCGCATTAAATAAATAATGCGCAAGGCGGCGTGATAGTGCCTTGGGGACTCATTGAATGCATGTTAAGCGAACACCTGGCCTGGCACTGTCTCCTCATGAAATTCATTGTGGCTGGAAGCAGGGAAACAGACATTATACAAGTAAATACCCAGCCAGATACTTTCAGAAAGCACAGGTGTAATGCAGGACGTAGGACCGCTGGAGCGCAAAAGCGCGATGGAGCAGGGCCGGCTCTGGCAGGTGGGCAGGGCAGGCCTCTGGGGGAGGCGCGGTGCTCGCTGGGGCCGCGGTAGCCAAGCATCACTGTTGCCGTCCCGCAAGCCGCAGGAATCATGCTGGCGGAGTCCCGGGCGCCAGCAGCCCAGAATCCAGGTGTCAGCAGGGTGGGCTAGCGCCGGGGGGGGGCTCGGAGGCAGGTCTGTCCGTGGCGGCCGGTGGTTCCGGCGCTCCCTGGCCTGTGGCAGCGTCTCCAGTCTCTGCCTCTATCTCACGTGCCCTTCTTCCTCTGGGTCTTCTCACAGCCTCCTTAAAAGCTCACCAGTCATTGGATTGAGGGCCCACCCTACTCCAGTGTGACCCCGCCTTAACTTGATGACATCTGCAAGGACTTCCCACCTAGGTCACCTTACATGGGAGGAGTGAGGCTGAGCTGGGAGAGGAAGGAGGGAGGGGCCCCTTGATGGAGCCGTGAGGGTAGAGGGTTCCAGAGAAACAGAGCAGCCAAGGCGGATACCCTGTAACCAGTAATCCCTCGGGGGGCCCCTGCGGGGAGGAGTGGCAGGAGGTGAGGCCCTAGGTCGGGAGAGGCCACTCAGGTGGGCGGGATGCTTGGACAGCACCACAGGCCTGGGGTGACCAACCGTCCTGGTTTGCCTGCGACTCACGGGGTGCCCAGGGCACAGGACTCTCAGGGCCAAAGCCAGGACGGTCCCTGGCAAACTGGGATGAGTGGGTCACCCTAAGCCTTCATGTGGACCCCCTCCTCACTCACCTCTGGTTTAGTTAGCAGCGTCTCATTTTTTCCACATCATTTCACAATGGGCAGGAAAGAATGGTCACCGTTGATTGACGGCTCACGGTCTGCTGGACATATGCTCAGCGCGTGCAGGGCGCGTAGGCAGGAGGTGCTGCCACTATGCCAGGCGTGGGTCCATGGCCTTCACCACTCCCGCGCCACTTTTCCTATTCTGTCATTTCCTCATTCGTTTGTTGTGAGGTAAAATAATTAGCCCTAGTGGATAGGAGGACCGACAATTTGAAGTGTCTATCAAGTGACCACATGTGAAGCAGGAGCCTTCTGTGTAGTAATTCCATTCCTGCTGCAACAGGAATAGACAGCAATTATTACCCTTGTTTTATAGATGAGGAAGCTGAGGTGAGGAGAAGCTAATTAACTTGACCAGGGTCACCCGTGAAGACAGCAGGGCCCTGGGCCTGGAACCTTCTACGTCTCCCTCTGTGTCGCCCTGCCCACTGGGCAAGGGTGTGTGGAATCGATCGGCAGCCAGCCCCTCCCCCAACCAGGTGCTCCCCATATGTGTATTTTGGTTAAAATTCCAAACACCATTGGGTTTATGGTGTGACTTTGGTGATTGTTCCTGTCACTGTGCACCTTAAGCGTGTTTACCTTTCTGGTGAACCGGGAAAAGTTATCCTGGGCTGAGAGGCAGTGAGTAAGATCCTCCGCTCAGAAGTTGGGCCAGGCATCCCCGTTACTAACTCCTGTAGGAAGGGCTTCCTTGGATGCCAGCAACGGGGGAGCATCCAGTGCGAGGGGAACCCATCGACTGGTGCCTGCGGTGTGGGGACCTGCGCCTGGGGCGCAGAGAGGCCGAGGCAGGAAAGGCGGCCTGATGCCCTCACAGCCCGGTGAGAAGTCAGGCAGTAATAGTGCTCATAGCGCTGGCTTGTCCAGTGCTTCGCAGTGAGCGAAGCGCTGAGCTCATCTTACTCACCTCTCACGGCACCCTCTGACAGCAGGCTCGTCCTCATCCCCGCCTGGGGACAGAGAGCGACGGGGAGAGAGGGGCGGACTCTCCACCGAGGGCCTCGCGGCTTGTGAGCTGCTGGATGTGACTTCATCTAAAAAATGCTGTAAAATGAGTAGGACAGAATCCGTTAAAACTGGCACCCATGACAAAAACAAAGAAGCACTCCTAGCTGGTGGGAAAGTTCAAATTCTGGAATCAGAGATCTGATCTGTTGGGCAAAATAGTTCTTTGGGTATCTCTGGATGTCACTTGATGATTTGGAAAGTTACTCAACTCTTTTGTGTCTCAGTTTGCTAATATTTAGAATAAGGATAATAAGAGAACATGTATTTATGACTTTCTGAACCACCACCCTCACCACCACCACCACAACAACCACCACCACCACCATCACCACCACCACCACCATCACCACCACCATCACCACCAGCACCATCACCACCATTGCCGCCACCACCATCACCACCACCATCACCACCACCACCACCACCACCACCACCATCACCACCACCACCACCACCATCACCATCACCACCACCATCACCACTATCACCACCACCACCACCACCATCACCACCATCACCATCACCACCACCATCACCACCAGCACCATCACCACCATTGCCGCCACCACCATCACCACCACCATCACCACCACCACCACCACCACCACCACCGCCACCACCACCACCACCACCACCACCACCGTCACCACCACCACCACCACCACCATCACCACCATCACCATCACCATCACCACCACCACCACCACCATCACCACCACCATCACCACCACCACCACCACCATCACCACCGCACCACCACCACCACCACCGTCACCACCACCACCACCACCACCATCACCACCATCACCACCACCACCACCACCACCACCACCACCATCACCACCGTCACCACCACCACCACCACCACCATCACCACCATCACCATCACCATCACCACCACCACCACCACCACCACCGCCACCACCACCGTCACCACCACCACCACCACCACCACCACCACCACCACCACCATCACCACCACCACCACCACCACCACCATCACCACCACCACCACCACCATCACCACCACCACCACCACCATCACCACCACCACCACCACCACCACCACCACCACCACCATCACCACCATCACCACCACCACCACCACCATCACCATCACCATCACCACCACCACCACCACCACCACCACCACCACCACCACCACCACCACCACCACCACCGTCACCACCACCATCACCATCACCACCATCACCACCACCACCACTGCCAGTGGCACTGCCAGTACCACCATCATCAGCTGTTTCCTCCCCTGTGGAACCCGCCTCCCAGCCACATGTCACGGAGTAAATGGCACAGTGCATGCTGAAGCCCTGGCAGTCTGTGCGGGGTGCTGGGATGGGGCTGAAGCTAAGCGCCATCTTTGTGAAGCAGAGGGAGGTGCCGCGACCAGCGCCTTCCCCGAGGAGACAGCTGTCTCGTGGACCGGTGTGCCCTCTCCCGGCGAGGCCGGCTCTCTCACACCACCATGCTTCCTCCGCAGGCATCGCCCTCAGCGTGCTCCCCATGTACCTGAGCGAGATCTCGCCCAAGGAGATCCGCGGTTCTCTGGGGCAGGTGACTGCCATCTTGATCTGCGTAGGTGTGTTCGTCGGACAGCTGCTGGGCCTCCCTGAGCTGCTGGGCAAGGTAAGCGAGGCTCCCCGGCCAACCATGGCCATGGCTGTTCTCATTTTATGTCACCGTCTCAGCTCCCCAGGTCCTGTTGGGGACAAAGGGTGGCCCAAGATGATCTCTTCCTCCATACACTTCCCTGTGCCTTGGAATTCCTGAGCATTCAAGCCTTTCACTTACTATTGCAGAAAAGTTGGGGCTGAGTACCTTTGATTGGGTTGGGTTTTTTTTTAGGATATAAAGAACACATAACAAATTCTAACTTTGTAGAATGTTCAAATCCACCCACCCCACAGCTATTGTTAACAGTTCAGTTACGATTCTTTCAGGCCCTTGCAAACCTATATAAGCCTAGACCCTAGACAGTTTTTGTGATGGCACCATGCTGTGCACATCGTTCCTCAACTTACTGTTCTCGTTTACTGGATTTTGGGCATCTTTCTAAGACGTTTTGCTTGGCTCTACCCCACTCTGGAGTCTGTCTTTCCTATGTACATATGTAATGGCGCAGTCTTCTGCTTGTGGCTTTCTCTTTGGCAGCAGAAAGGCCTGACTTTGAATTCTAGTCCAACCATTCACTTGCCGCGGGGCCTTGGCCAGGAGGGGTGCCTCGCCTAGGGTCATGGGCGGCGGGGTGGGGGTCAAGGAAGGCTCCCCAAAGTGGCCTCGGAATTGAGCCCCGAAGGGTGAGCAGAAGTGAGGTGGAATACGACAGGGTTTGGAGAGAAGACATTGCAGAGAGAGGGCAGAAGGGAAGAAAAGGCCGTGAGGGGGGAACAGCCCCGTGAAAGAATCACGAGTGGCTTGGGCCTGAGGGAAGAGCCGCATGGGGAGCGTGACACGAGGCCCCTGCTCACTGAGCTGCCCTCGACATCCTCCTGGGGAGCAGGGAGCCCTGGGCGGCCCTGCGGCGGGGGAGTGACTGATCCGAGTTCGAAGGTGGCTTTGGGAGTGGGAGTGGGAGGGTGAAAAGGGAGGAAACACCCCGGCAGGAGGCTGCGGCGATTGGACGTGGTCCGGGGCGTGAGGGGGGGTGGGGGTGATTGGGGGAACTGAGGCAGCGGCCCTGGGGATAGAGAGGAGGGGCGGGCGAGTCCAGGACCTGCTGCCTGAGTGTCCGACAAGGTGGGGGAAGAGCCCGGCTGGGCGCCTTGCAGGGATGCGGAGGCTTTCCCTCCCCACTCACGCCAGGAGGCCACGAGCGAGGGAGGACATGAAATCAGAAGTGAGGGTCCAATGTCGAACGTTCTGGAACAGAGCACAGGGACGCACCCTGCCCTGTGGGCTGGGTCCCGCCGGGAGGAGGCCCGGACGAGAAACTCACTTTAAAACGCTTCTGGGAAAAATCTCAATGCTGTCCTGGCCAGTGTGGCTCGGTTGGTTGGAGCATCGTCCCGTACACTGAAAGGCTGTGGGTTCGATTCCCCTTCATGCACATACCTAGTTTGAGGGTTCGATTCCCAGTCAAGGAGCTTGCGAGAGGCAACCAATAGATGTTTCTCTCTCACATCAATGTTTCTCTCTGTTTCTGTCTTTCTCTTCCCACCTTTTCTAAAAGCAATGAAAGAAAGTCCTCAGGTGAGGATAAAAAAAAATAACAATAATACACATCATCCAGCATTTATGTAAAATTCTTGTTTGCTATGTCATTCAAGACCTCACAGCAACTTTGGGAGCCGCTCCCATCGACAGCCGTGGAAATGGAAGCCGGGGGAGATGAGGCAGAGAACTAACCAGTAAAAAAGTACTGGTGCTGAAACTAGAACCCGGGCCTGTCAGCTTTCAGGCAGATGCACCAGGTGTGGGAGCATCTTGCCGGCCGGGAACTGGGCGTGCCGGCCCCCGGCCCCCGCCCCCGCCCCCGGGAGCGTGAGGACTGTCTGAGGCCACTTCTGTCACATGGTTCTTCCCCACACCTGCAGGGGGCCTGCAGTTCAGCCCCACCTGATGCCATCTACCTGGACAGAGTGTCAGGTCCCACAGGTGAGGGGCCCAGTCCCGCGAGACTCCCTCCACTTCAGGTGCCCATGGCAACTCCAGGTTGTCACTGGCTGTAGATCCGAGGTTCCCACAACCTCCTTCTTGGGTTTGAAGAATTGGCTACAGTGACTCGTAGAAGTCAGGATAGCAATACTTACTAGATCACCACTTCATGATAAAAGGATGTAACTCAGGAAAGACGTAGGGAAGAGACGCACGGGGCCAGGTATGGAGAAAGGGCGCGGAGCCCTGGTGCCCTCGCCAGCGGCCACTGTCCCCACACCTCCTCCACGTGTTAACTTACAAGGACGCGTGCCAAACCCTGGCCTTCCGGGGCTTTATGGAGCTTTTATCACACAGACAGGGTAATTAAATCCTGGCTGGAGGTCAGGCGTGGGGCTGAAAGTTCCCACCCTCCAGCCACCTGGTCGTTTGCCTCGGCCACCAGCTCCCGTCCTTCGGTGCTTTCCAAAAGTCACCTCATTAACTCAACTCAGCTGTGGCGGAAAGAGGGTTGATATTATAAATATCAAGACACTTTTATGGCTCCTATCGCTTGGGAAATTCCTTCAGTTTTAGGAGTTCTTTGCCGGAAATAGAAGACCAACTATGTATTTCTTATGATAAACCACACTATCTCAGTGGAAGCCTGGGTAAGGCAGACCCAGGCCCCTTTGCGCCTGAGCTGGACTAACCTGAGCCGCCCCGGCCCCGCTCAGGGAAGGCTGCGCAAGCAGAGGGATCCCGCGCAGTGGCCGCCCGGTGACAGGATGGGTAGCGGGACCTGGCTGGCATTTGTCCTTCAAAAATGCTTTGAAGTGTTTTGCTAACTGTGTTTATTGTGGCAAAATATACATAACACACAGTTTACCATTTCCACCATATGAGAGTGAACAATTTCATAGCAGGAAGCATGACTTTTTATATTTCATGTGATCCGCGTCACCTCAGAGGCACCTGCTTCTGATATTTTGTTACTGACCCTTCTGGGTTATTATGGTGATGATTTGTTTCTCGTTTGCAAAAACCAAAGACAACTTACATTTCACCTCTGCGGTTGTCACCTCCCTCACAACTTCAGTAATGAACGCGAGCGCGTTAGAAATGTCTGCTTACCAAAGGGAGGCTCCATCTAAAGAGACTCCTTTGCCTTTTGTTTTTCAAGTTCTAAATATCTTAAACATTATGTGTGTGACCAAACCCTGCCCCCCCATATAACAAGTACAGCCTCAGCTCCCTGAACATAAAAATATATCTTGAAGCCAATGAACAGGACTGTTGCCCTCCAAAGGTAAAAAGGAAGTAAACGTCTGCTTCAGTAAAGGTGAAGCTTCTTCTTTTTTTCTTTTAAAGATTTTATCTATTTATTTTTAGAGAGGGGGGAAGGGAGGGAGAAAGAGAGGGAGAGAAATGTCATTGTGTGGTTGTCTCTTGTGCGCCTCCTACTGGGGACCTGGCCCACAACCCAGGCAGGTGCCCTGAGTGGGAATCGAAACGGCGATCCTTGGGTTCGCAGGGCAGCGCTCAGTCCACGGAGCCGCACCCGCCAGGGGCTTTTTCTTTTATGGGCTAGTTTCCAATCGCTCATCTCTCACCCGAGTCCCTATTTGTTAAATCAATACCAAGTCATTTCTCTGTTTGAGTTCTGCCTTAGTCCCTACGGGATGCTGTAACAAATCCCACAGACTGGGTAGCTTATACAGGACCAAAATTTAGTCCCCAGAGGCCTGGAGACTGGGAGTTAGAGATGGGGGTGTCGGCAAGGTCAGGTTCCGGTAAGGGCCACCGTCCTGGCTTAGAGACAGCCACCTTCTCGCTGCGCCCTCTCCTGGGGGCAAGAGGGGTCATCCCTCTCATGTCTCTTACAAGGTCACTGGCCCCATTCATGAGGGTCCCTCCCTCAGGACCTAATCACCTCCCAAAGGCCCCACCTCCTCATTTCATAACCTTGAGGGTCAAGATTTTCATGTATAAGTTTGGAGGGGACCGAAGTGTTCAGCCCATACAAGTCCCCAGGACTTCCGTGTACCGCCGTCTTCTCTGTTCATTCCCCCGTTCGGCACATTTGCCGACCACTGCACAGGATGCTGGCGCTGCAGCCAAGCCCGGGGAGCGGGCGCTCGGCAGCAGAAAGATGCTGCAAGCTGGGCTCAGAGTGATGGCAGTGGGCGCGGAGGCAGGTGGGTGAGGTTGCGTAGTGGGCGACGGAGCGCGGTGTCTGAGGGAGGACACCCCAGGTGTTTGGCAGGTCATCGGGTAGCATGGGGTACCAGAGGCTAAGGGAGGGAGCCCAGGTGGAGAAAGAAGCAGCTGTGCAGGGGGTAAAATGACAAGGTTGCCGACGTGAACGGCCCAAGTCACTTGAAGCCAAAGCTGACGGGAGGACTGCGGTGTGGGGGTTCTCCAGCAGGGGCGCTCTCTGCCTGCAGCAGGGCTGGTAGGCATGGCGCCGGCCAAGGGACCCAGGGCCCACGCCCACCTTCTGACCAGAGCCAGCTGCGAAGGTGCGGAGGTGCGCAGGTGCGGAGGTGCGCCGTTGGCTCCCGGAGTCTCTCTCTTCCCATCAGGCTGGGTTTTTTCACATACTTGCGGGACCGGGTAGGAGGGTACATGACTAAGTTCTGGTTCTCAAATCCCAGCCCCAGGACACAGGCTCCGGTCCCAGGAAGAACATCAAATGGGAAATTTTTATTTGTTTCTTTGGAGATTTGTGACATCCTGGCCAAGCGAGATCCATGATTATTTCTCTAAGTGTCAGGACTTTGTTTTCTCTCCATTAATCTTATTTCTCATTCACTTTCAAAGACAGAGACAACAGAGCTTGTAAAAACATTAAAGAGAGAAAAACTGGGCTTGTAAAAAAATTAAAGAGATGGAAAGGGTCCTTCAATGCAGGCAGCTGCTTTGAAAGGCAGAAACTGTGGGAGGCAGCAGGAGGCGTTAGGACAGCTGCCGCGAATCAGACGCATCGCGAAATTGTGGAGGGTGGAGTTTTAATGACGTTTTATGCTCCCAAAGGATATTTTAAAGAGCAT